GTCCTGTGGCGATTAAAATCCAAGACCTGTATTAACCTACCCAATTCCGCCCTATTCAAGTTTTACAGTTAAGAGTATCTGAGTATTACTTTATAACATCTGTCTCTTATACACATCTAGATGTGTATAAGAGACAGATACTAGGTACCATAATGTAAGATCAGCCTAAAAACGAAAGATCAAAATAGCCCAATCTTGGGGAAAAAAAGATTAGCTCACATGTTGAAATTGGACGAATTTCGATCCTCCCATTTTCTGTGGGTTCTCAAAATCCATGGAGTTATGTGGCACCTACGGATTTGAGGCAGTGCTCAGTGAAATTTGAGTCTGAAAACTTTTTTGAACATAAAACCAACCAAGTTTCCTTTCATCAATATGGCCTATATATTACAGTACATATAGATTTGTTCCTGTCCCTCATTCTCAATCCTTAAGGTTTTCTGATAACTTAGTCCTTCTATTTTGCTTGAACATTTATTCTTAGGCCTACCCTTGGAAATATCCAATAGTCCAAATTTATATTTTGAGGCATTTTCACTCAATTAAATTGGAAACTGATTAAAAAAAAATATAAAATAGCCAAGTTTCCTTTTATCAATAAATTACAGTATATATTTTATGTCCGTTAGTTCTGTTTCTCACATTTTCGATCTCCATTATTATTTTTTTTTTTTTCATAGGAGATGAGATGTGTGACTTGAGTGACACCGTCTTCTTGGCTAAAGACGTGGAGGGCGCATTATCGATATTGGGAAATCGAACTGGATATTCACACGTCCGGACGTAGACGTAGTAGTAGTAGTAATTGCCAAGTATTGTTGCAAAAACTAAACTGCATCTTATTGACACCTGATTGGTGGTCCTCCTTCTTTGTCTGGAGTAATTGCTTGTTAAAATGTGTAATGGTATATGTATTTCGTTAATTTAGTTAACAGCTTAATTCTTTGTTTATAATTTACTTGTTTAATTTAATTTACTTGTTGATATGTCGCTTCATACACAGAGAGAGCTGGTTTGCCATATTCATTTGACTTCCCCAGATAGCTCTCATTCATTTTCTTATGGTATATCTATTTCAAATACCCATAAACCTCTGATTTAAATAAGATTTGCTGAATACAGTATACTACAGGCCTAACATAAAGAAACAAAATAAATAAATACGGTAAATGAATATATAAATATAAATAAATTCTGCTCTATAGTCACCCTGGTCGGTGACCCCCCCCCCCTCTCTTTGTCTGGAGTAGTAGGCCTACTTTTAATTGCCAATTTCAATTTGTTAGTGTAGGCCTTTTTGTATTTTTGTTAAGTTAATTGTTTAATTCTTTGTTTTTAATTTTGTTTGTCCTCTTTTGTTGTTGTGTTGATGCACCAACTTTGTGTGTGCCACCGATATAAAGGTGTAATTTCCAAATAAATACTTACTTACTTACTAGTGCACATACTGTTGAACTCTTCTCCAAAGAGAGAATTTATTTCCTAACATAAACCACCTAGGTATTAATTAATATAATAGGTCCTGTGGCGATTAAAATCCAAGACCTGTATTAACCTACCCAATTCCGCCCTATTCAAGTTTTACAGTTAAGAGTATCTGAGTATTACTTTATAACATCTGTCTCTTATACACATCTAGATGTGTATAAGAGACAGATACTAGGTACCATAATGTAAGATCAGCCTAAAAACGAAAGATCAAAATAGCCCAATCTTGGGGAAAAAAAGATTAGCTCACATGTTGAAATTGGACGAATTTCGATCCTCCCATTTTCTGTGGGTTCTCAAAATCCATGGAGTTATGTGGCACCTACGGATTTGAGGCAGTGCTCAGTGAAATTTGAGTCTGAAAACTTTTTTGAACATAAAACCAACCAAGTTTCCTTTCATCAATATGGCCTATATATTACAGTACATATAGATTTGTTCCTGTCCCTCATTCTCAATCCTTAAGGTTTTCTGATAACTTAGTCCTTCTATTTTGCTTGAACATTTATTCTTAGGCCTACCCTTGGAAATATCCAATAGTCCAAATTTATATTTTGAGGCATTTTCACTCAATTAAATTGGAAACTGATTAAAAAAAAATATAAAATAGCCAAGTTTCCTTTTATCAATAAATTACAGTATATATTTTATGTCCGTTAGTTCTGTTTCTCACATTTTCGATCTCCATTATTATTTTTTTTTTTTTCATAGGAGATGAGATGTGTGACTTGAGTGACACCGTCTTCTTGGCTAAAGACGTGGAGGGCGCATTATCGATATTGGGAAATCGAACTGGATATTCACACGTCCGGACGTAGACGTAGTAGTAGTAGTAATTGCCAAGTATTGTTGCAAAAACTAAACTGCATCTTATTGACACCTGATTGGTGGTCCTCCTTCTTTGTCTGGAGTAATTGCTTGTTAAAATGTGTAATGGTATATGTATTTCGTTAATTTAGTTAACAGCTTAATTCTTTGTTTATAATTTACTTGTTTAATTTAATTTACTTGTTGATATGTCGCTTCATACACAGAGAGAGCTGGTTTGCCATATTCATTTGACTTCCCCAGATAGCTCATTCATTCATTTTCTTATGGTATATCTATTTCAAATACCCATAAACCTCTGATTTAAATAAGATTTGCTGAATACAGTATACTACAGGCCTAACATAAAGAAACAAAATAAATAAATACGGTAAATGAATATATAAATATAAATAAATTCTGCTCTATAGTCACCCTGGTCGGTGACCCCCCCCCCCTCTCTTTGTCTGGAGTAGTAGGCCTACTTTTAATTGCCAATTTCAATTTGTTAGTGTAGGCCTTTTTGTATTTTTGTTAAGTTAATTGTTTAATTCTTTGTTTTTAATTTTGTTTGTCCTCTTTTGTTGTTGTGTTGATGCACCAACTTTGTGTGTGCCACCGATATAAAGGTGTAATTTCCAAATAAATACTTACTTACTTACTAGTGCACATACTGTTGAACTCTTCTCCAAAGAGAGAATTTATTTTCTAACATAAACCACCTAGGTATTAATTAATATAATAGGTCCTGTGGCGATTAAAATCCAAGACCTGTATTAACCTACCCAATTCCGCCCTATTCAAGTTTTACAGTTAAGAGTATCTGAGTATTACTTTATAACATAAGGCAATTGGCAGCAAACAATGTTGTAGGCCACTTAAAATGAGGCTGTTACCCTACAATCAGTCATATTCAGATGTAGGCTTACTTATATGCTTTATTTTGATTGATTGACACTGACTGACTAACTAACTAAAAGACCTACCGGAGACTTGATGAGTTTGCAGCAATAAATAAATAAATAAATAAATAAATAAATAAATAAATAAATAAATAAATAAATAAATAAATAAATAAATAAATAAATAAATAAATAAATAAATAAATAAATAAATAAATAAATAAATAAATAAATAAACAAATAAATAAATAAATAAATAAATAAATAAATAAATAAATAAAAAATTGGCGACATGCAAAAGTATTTCGGTTCATACGTGCATACGCTTTAACTAATATTATATTAATATTTTTATTATTAATTATGATTAGATCTATAATAATAATGATAACAATAATAATGATAACAATTTATGTATTATAACTATAATAGGCCTACTAGGTGTAATATTTTTATCTATCTATTACTTTTTTATTATTATTAATAGACCTAATATTAATATGGATAATAATTACTATCATCAATGCATTTCCGTACATACATCCTATTTCTATTTCATTTTCATCAACAAAGTATGTCAGCCTAGGTCTAGTTCAAACGGTATTACGAAACTGGGCCTAGTCTATCATTGCTATGAAATCGTCTGCCTACACTTTATTGAAATGCATTGAAAGTTTAATTAGCTGCCTGTGAACAATACACTCCAATAGGCCTGTTTAAATTGCATATTCTAAAGTACTGAAAACAAAATCAACGCCTAACGGAGAAACCTAGCAATTGCCATATATATTCTTGATCTAAGAATTATTTTTTTTAGTAAACGTTTGTAAATACACAGAAAAAAAGTTTTTATCTGTAAATCATCCTCGAACGGCGTCAATAACCTAGATCCTAAAAAAATTGTTTTGGGGGCTTTCCAAATTTCACAATTAATCCTAATATTAATATGGATAATAATTACTATCATCAATGCATTTCCGTACATACATCCTATTTCTATTTCATTTTCATCAACAAAGTATGTCAGCCTAGGTCTAGTTCAAACGGTATTACGAAACTGGGCCTAGTCTATCATTGCTATGAAATCGTCTGCCTACACTTTATTGAAATGCATTGAAAGTTTAATTAGCTGCCTGTGAACAATACACTCCAATAGGCCTGTTTAAATTGCATATTCTAAAGTACTGAAAACAAAATCAACGCCTAACGGAGAAACCTAGCAATTGCCATATATATTCTTGATCTAAGAATTATTTTTTTTAGTAAACGTTTGTAAATACACAGAAAAAAAGTTTTTATCTGTAAATCATCCTCGAACGGCGTCAATAACCTAGATCCTAAAAAAAATTGTTTTGGGGGCTTTCCAAATTTCACAATTAATCACATTCAGGATATTTATGATAACATTATCATTATTCCACACCCACGACGTTTGCTCTAAATGTCTCTAAGGTTTCTCTAAACACTAGTTCCATTTATATCCTCCTTTATGATGTGGAACCATTCTATTTTTTTTTTTTTTTTTTTGATGTGGAACCATTTTTTTTTTTTTTTTTTTTTTTTTCAACGTGTTAACTCAGAATCCTACGTCATTCAAGATCTTAAGAGTAAATAAAAGATTCTGAAATAGATACGGTGCCATTATTACACTACCTACACTTTAGAAATTGCGAATTATCTTCCATCTTATTTACGTCATAACGCATTTCAATTCTGATTGGATCATTTTCGTCACAAGAAAAAGAAACATTTTTTCCCTCATGATAATAATTTTCACGTCAACGTGCAATTAGACGTTTCCATTCCAGACCCCTTCTGATGTAGGGGAAAATTTAACGCTGTACTTTTTTCTATGTGCTGGATTGCTGCCTTTTGTTAATCGCTGTCTTGTCATGTGTATTAATAAAGCACTCATGTTGTTTATTTGAAGTAAGCAACGCTACTTTGTGGTGTCAAATTCAATTTAGCAATTCCTGTGCTATGGATGAGAATTATAACCGAAGTTCAAAAGAAGAGAAAGAGAGAGTGTGCTCATCGTCGAGTAGCAGTGCAATGTCGGATTGTCCAAGCACGAACGGAGGTGGTGTTGTTGGTGTCAAAAAGAAGCCTGTTGTTGTGAAGCAGGAACCCGATTTAGCTCCATCAACCACTGGGCCAGATGACGTTTCGGTAAATTGCTTCCATTTTCGTGTTTACAATTCTTGAAATAGTCTAGGCCTAAGCCTAGGTTAATAGTAATACATTGAGTGGTGTAATGAATTGTGTGATGGCTAGGCCTAGGCCCTAGAGAGACAGGCCTCTCTAGTCTAACTAGGCCTACTAGCAAGGATAGGCCTAGGCCTAGCCTAGAGCTAAGACCCGGCTAGGCTAGCCTAGGCCTCCTGGCTACCGTAGGTAGGCTAGGCCTAGCTATGAAACTTAGACTAATTAAGACCTCCTCAATGCTAGCTATTTCTTGACCTGTGTAGGCATACTGTAGGGCCTGGCTTAGTTAGGCAGGGCTAGTCCAGTCCTGGCCTTGAGCACAAGCGGCCCATGCACATGGCCCTTTTATTGAGATGGATTTTTTGGTGGATCAATATTCGATGGTTTCGAAACCAGCATAGGCCTACGTTGCTACGAGCGGATTCAAATAAGAGTGAATACTACTAGGCTATACTAGTTGGAGCGAATGCCACTTCTTCCAGTGGATGCCATTTTGAGCGAAAAAGGATCTTCAGTTTAGCTAACACTAACTTGTGCGAAGAGACCTATTTTGACCGAACAATTTTACAGTATATTGATATTCGTCCGCTGCAGATTAAAATTTTTTCTATATTTTTATACCTCCTTGATATTTCTAACTTGGCTTTTTTCTTCCGATAGCTTTGTTTGCTCTAATAGCATTTTTCTGCTGACAGTTTGTTTAGTCTATATTTTGACCAAATAAATAAAAAATTAAAATTTGACGTAATATTTTGTATCTAATTAAACTGGTAATTAAAGTGTCTACTTCGTGAATACTTACCTGGATAAACCGACTAATTGCCTATTCATTCTCCCTCGAGAAACACCCCTCGAAAATCACCATTGATTTGTGTATTTTGCATGCCCTGTACTTTGTATCATAGGCCTAGGCCTACCCTTACCACACTGAGGTGCTATGAAAATTTTAACTCTCTAATTTACAAATTTTCACAATTAGAAACTCTGTTCGGACGGAGGGGTACGTACTGTAATTGATGTTACTGTACTTAGGTTTACTTTGGTGATGTACTTGACGCAGGACTAATGCCCTCATTGTCTAGATCCAAATTTGTTAATTCTGGAATTCTCGATGCTTGCTTTATCGTCAAACTTAACTGGTTGATCCTTCCAGAATTCATCAAGTCTATTCTCGAACACATAGAGGGAGCTGTTACAACTTCATTTCGGAATGCATTCCAATTGTCTACAATGCAATTCCCAAAGGAAAATCTTATATCCACACAAGAATGTTGTTTCAGCAATTTAAAAGAGTGTCCATAAGTTCTGTGATACATTCAATTGTAGAAAACCAGAGTCAGAACTATCATATAAATATTTAGAATTTTAAATGTCTCAATCATATTGCCTCTACAAGGGTATATCTTCTGTACTTAATATATCAGAGTAACTTTTTATCCCATCATGCAAAATTATATACAACAATGCAATGTGTTCATCATCAAAACATCCGTTTTGTTGACCTAGCAGGTGACCCTTATCTTACACGAGATGGATAAACCTAGACCAAGAACGAAATTGTTTAGTTCTATTTCACCCTGGGAAATGTACTGTCAAATGGTGTTTGATGTTAATGTACTTCTATAGGGATTGAAAAGAAGACGAAAGAGAATGCTAGCTTGGTTCAATTTGTTTTACAGTACAATAAATGATAGCCAGCAAGGCACCGTCGACGACGAACGCAGCTATTTCAGGCTTTTTTTTAATCATTTTTTATTTATCAAGTTTTAATTATCACATTTATACAAACCTTCAATACGGACGATGACGTCATCAACATTAGTATTTAAACACCTAATATACTGTAAGTTTGTTTTCATTATAAAATGTTACCATTTCAATTGGCATTTCTTTATATGATGAGTCAAATGATAGTGTACAAGTAAACAACCTGCCGCGGCAAACAATCGTCTTTTTCAACAGCAACATTGATTTGTGTCTATAAAAAGCGCTGTTATAATGTAAAACCATGTTCTACTGTATTATGTATACTACAGTAGGGCCTATAGTATACAGTAAATAGGTCCCCAAAATAGAACAAGACTTAAACCGTGATTACAATTTAGCCATTCCCAACTGCAGAACCAATTTAGGTCAATTCAGAATCTCTTATACTGATGCTAAATTGTGGAATTCCTTGCCATTTGAGTTGAAAGAGACCACCTCAAGAACAAATTTTGTTTCAAAAATTAAAGACATTTTGTTTAATGAAAATTAAGAATGATGCCTTTTAAATTTTATTTTTTTATACTATTTATATATATTTTATCATATGTATTGTATAAGATGTTTGATTTGAAAGGGGCTCACGCTCGATTAGCTCTGGCTATTTTACTTGTCTCCTATTGCATACTACAGTACCTATATTATTTTTGTATGCAATAAAGAGATAAAGAAAAAACGGTAACTTTACGGTAAGTCTTAATTAAGTATTTAAAAAGTATAGGGCCTAGGCCTAAAGTGATTATGCCTGCAATGTATTCATTATTGAAAAGTTGAATATATAGACCTCCAAACAACCTACCCATCACAGTAACCTACACATTTAACCTTCCCTCCTCCCCTTCTCTGAAGCGTGTGAAAATGATGAAAATAATGGATGTCCCTTAGTGTAGCCTTAAATGCAACAAGCAAAAACAAAAGGAAATTAAAGGTTTTGAAAAGGTGTGCCATGAGACTGATTAAAATAGAAGAGGGAGAAAAACTCCCAGTTGGTGTTTAAGAGGAAGGCCAGTTCAGAGCTTAGTAACAGCAACCTGAAATGACCTCTTCATTCTTGAATTCAAATGGCACAGAGGGGGAATTAGTGTAAATGTTCTTGATGTAGACCGACCGCAGCCTTCCAGCTAGAACAAGTTTAATTATTTTCACTTTGAATATTGACACTGTGCCTTGATCACCAATTTGGTGGTGATGTTTGCACTTTATTAAATAATTAAATAAAAACCTATGGAACCTATCCCCGTCAGCATAATAAACAATTGCACACATAATTCAAGACTGCGATCGCTTTAGTTATCTATAGGAGCTTTATGAACTTGATTAATCCACAGTCAAATGGTTGATGTCCATTAATCTAGACATCTAGGCATTGCCTGACCACCCTATATCTCAAGAAAAAATTTTTTCCTAAATGTATGTTTTTATTTATTTATCCAAAAATATTTTTTTTCTATCCTAGAAATATATTTTTATTTATTTATCCAAAATAATTTTTTAGCCTGTTTTCAAGGAAGGAATCATGCAAAAGGAACAAAAGCTATGGTAAATAAAAATTGTAATAATTTTATATTATTATTATCTGATGTAATTATTTTCAACCAATGTATCTGATCAATCAATTAATTTGATAAATATATTAATCTGATCAATCTCTTAATCTGTCTCATCAATCCATTCTTTTGTCCTTTAGAAAATTTTCTTGTGCATACAATTGCTCAACTGAATGTTTTATGTATGTGCTGATAATTGGAATCATGATTACTGTAATAACAGTCTTCAGTATTTATGAAAATCCAACTTGAACTAAATCATTTTTCACCATAACAGTTCATTCTTATCTCTTTTTCATTTGTATAGCGTCACAGCAATAGTAAAAAATCGCTTTATTGTAAAACAACATTACGTTGTTTTCTTTCAAGATGAAAGAAAGCCAAAATTGTTACTATAAATGTATTGATTAGCAGCTGATAAAATCCCCAAATGCTGTCCATTAGTTCGGAGGCTTACTGCAGATGATCGAAGATCAAAGTTGCAGAAATTTATAGACAGAGATTATAAAAGCGATGAGTTTATTTAAGGTAGATTCTGTGGATTGAACCTGTTTAAACTCACCATTCTCAAAAGTTCTTTTTGACCCACACTTAAATGTAGACTTCGCATTTTTTTCATTTTTATTATGTAATGTATAGTGTTAGTATTATTCAACCAAATATTTTAAAGTTCCTCATCAACTCTTAAAAAAAGGAACATATTTTGTAAGGACATTTCACCCCAGATTTTGTGTTTTGTGGTGAAGGTTGACAAGATACTGAAATTTGACCTTTAAAATATATTTGTTAAAAATTATTTTAAGTTCTTAAATTATTGTGATTTTTAAATTATTCTTTTTTTAGTAAATTTATACAGTACAGGCCCCTTTTGGAAAAACGTCCTTTTGAATAATCACACTCTACAGAACGTCATTTGTTATGAAGGATTGAATATTCTATATGCCCCAGGATATTAATTTTTTTTCACTCGGAATAAACGTCCCCTCAAAAAAGTAAGCAAACTTAATAATGTGTTGTGTGGCCTATTTAGATACATTACACAGACCTGATAGCAATAGGTGAACTAGTTGCATACTTTGCTACAGTTTTTTTTTACAATAGTTGATTGATAGTGGTTTATTTATGTTTGGCAGATCTAAGAATCATGCTTGCAAGTTAATAACTGTTTGTTTACAACAATTTTGACTGACCACTTTGGTTTAGTCATTTTACACAAAATGAACAAGCATTTATTTTACATTAAAAAGTATAAAAATTCTCCTAAATAAATACCTTCCTTTATAATAACATTAAAAACCCTTGTGAACAATAAACTCCCCTAATATTACAATATTTTTAGTATTAAATCGCCCCATCAAAAACCCTTGTGAACATATAATTATTGATTTTATTTGCTAATATTTAGTCTAACATTCAACCACACCAGTGTTTATTTAGATCAGCACATTTTCCAGGAGGATCATGAGTGTACAGATCCTAGGGTATTATAGTTGACCTTGATTTTCCCCAGGGACCTAGAAAATCCTGTTAGAAGCCAAAATAAATGTGAACATAGAGAAATGTTATGTGTGTTTACCTTGCCAATTATTTGCTTAATCCTTTTTGCCCGCAATGGGGCATAAGGTCGCAATGAGTTCTCTTCTTGCCAATTAG